TCCAAACTTCCAGCACAAATGTAACACAGCTGCATGGCTAAATAAAAATTGTCAAATTCAAAAAAAAAAAAAAAGATAATACTGGGCTTTTAACAATTATAGACAAAGCAGAGGCACTTTGACCTAATGTTCTGAAATCACAAGTAATGAACAAGTGTTCTCCGGTGGCACTCATTTGCCATTACCATTTTTGTGTTTGCTATGTGCAAGAATACATTTTGCTTTGTTAAATTATGTAACCAAGTGTAAAGTAAGGAGTGCCATCCAAGGAAGAACCTGTATTCAATCTTCATTAGAGGCCACAAGTGTATGTTCTGCTTAAAACAACTCTAGTGGACCTCTGTGTGCAGACACACAACAGTACCATGCAATACCTAACTCTCTATACCCACCCTATAAATCTTTGGACTGAAGTGCTAGATATCTTAAGCAGTAGTTCCTAAATATGTTGGCTTTTTCTTTACTTCCGGGGTATTTTAAGTGAAAATTAAAAGTGGTTTCAAAGTGAATTTCAAATTCAAGGTAAAAATTAGCCAAACTAGAAACATTCTCTAATTCAGCTATTAATTGGCTTTTAAATTTGAAATTCACATTGAATTCACTTAAAATTCACACTTGTGAATAACCACTGGGTGCCATCACTAATTAAAATAAGAAAATGAAAAACAATTCAAGTTTTTATATTCATTTATAAAATATTTTGCTAGGAAAGAATGAATCTCAAACATCTCGGAAATACAACCACTCTTCCCTATAACATCTTAATCTCAATTAAGTTATTATGGCATATGGAGTCCCTGGGCACCATCTTATCTTACAGGGTTAATAGGTTTTCAAACAGTGTGAACCTCTAAATGACTTAAGCTTGCTGAAATGCATTGTGTGAAGAATGTGTCCTATTTTTTCATTTTCCAAAAAGTGCCGATTTCAATAAAAATGGACACTTTTATAAATTATGCTGGTTACATCCCCTCTTGGTTTTTCAAGCAGACAATCGATAATGTTACTTCCTGGTTTAATTAGCTCAGTTGTCCTGAACTCAAGAGGCAGCAATTACCCAGAACACCTGCCTTGCAAAGACCTCCCATTGAACTGCATTGGGAAGTCTGTGATTGGACACCACGGAAAGTCTGGGAGGGGCTAGAAGAGAGATGAGATCTCTCCATTTTTGCAAGCTGTTTTTAGATACAACTCAAATGAAAAAAAATGCATAATTAAATGCATACAGGTTTTCATTTGGTGTATATCTACTAAACAGTGAGTTTTATTTATTTTGTGTTTGGGAAGTGAAGTGTTCCTTTAACACCCCCCTCTTTTACCCCCCTCCTGTGTCCAGCTACACTGCCTCCTTTGTCCTTCCTTGTAGCCACCATAGTAATTAGGAAGATTTGCTTTGGTGGCTGGTGATAGACTAAGAGAGTCAGTTGACATTCTCAGTCTATCACTGGAAGCCCTTTGCAAGTAGCAGTACATACCATTATATTCACACTAGGCAGTTTACGACGACTGCTGCGAACCTGGTGGTTCTGTTACTGCATCCTTCCCACTCCGATCATTAAACAATCACCATGCAAATCCTGGTTAGTTTGCCAAGCAAGCCCATCACAGCGCAATGAAGCCTCTTCAAGTCAGCAGGTTGCATCTACGCTCTTACTGACTGAAGGGTCATTTTACTGCTTGAATTGTCCAGCCAATCAGTCTCATTTTATTTCGAGATTCTGTTC